GGGGTAGAATCGGACAGCGTCCGAAGAGAGACGGTAAAAGTCCTCGATCACTGGATAAAGTTAGTGTACCAATAACAAAATCTTACCAGATGAATAGGAGCTTACCATCAGGTAGATTCTCTGGCGGTAGCTCATTCAGAATCCTTAGAAAAGCAACTGCCTGTTGTTCGTAGAACTGGAAGACAGCATTGCTCGTGGACCGGTCGACGAACTCGGCCCCTTCAGAAAATTCGCGCACAACAGCATCGGTGGCCCACAAGAAACATCCTTCCCGCGAAGCCTCAAATCCGTTGGCAATGCTCTGGGCCAGCGTGGGCAGCAGAGGAATCATTGCCGTTCGGTATGAGATGATCATGTACCGCCAGCAACGGCAGACACGCTCCAATATGGGAGTGGACGAAGTGAAATTCATAACAATCGTCGTCATAATGGGCAGAATCTCGCCGCAATACTTGACGGACGGGTTGTCTTCGTTCGGGCCAACATAAGGATTCACAACCTGCACGAAGATTGTAATCAATTGTAAGTGATCTGCGTAGGGATTGGTTAGCTACTGCTTCCGCAAAATGCAAAAATGCAGGACAAACGTACCGGCAACAGCGCGCTGGCCTGGCTCATCGCTTGCATTGTTGGCCAGATTCATGATCCGTGCCATGATGGGATCACAAAACAACTTCATAGTTTCGTAGATCTTGTCAAGAGGTTGAACAGCAACAACAGCAGCGACACCTTCGGTGACTTCTTCCTGGCTGGCTGGCTTCAACTTATCGATGACTGATTCATAGAAGGAATGAAGCTGCGTAATGTGCCCTCCCAGCAGCTTCTGACAGTCTGTACCCAAGAACTTGAACGCTAGCGCGGCAGCCTGTACAACCTCGGGAGAACTATGCTGGAAGCCAGAGATGACATAGTTGAGTTGTGCTTCCAGAGTTTCGGGATGTTGAGCGGTCCATTCCGTGTAACGTGCGAGCGCCATGATAGCCTGGAATCGCACCTTCTCCTGATTGGGTATTTGCACGATCAATGGAATAATCTGCGAAAGGACTGTACTTTCCTCGGGGTCGACCATGCGGCCCATTGCCCGTAAACTGAAAAGTGGTGCCTCAAGTTCCTGCCAGTGAGGAACATGTTGGTCGCTCGCTTGAGATGCATACTTGGAGACCCACTGTTGGATCAACGCATTGGTCTTTGACAAGCACTCGGTGACACCGATGACGGCGCAGCAATCCTTAAGCACGTCGCCCATGGAGTGCCGGTAATGACGGAATTTTTCTTCCTGTTCCCTATCACCGCCGAATAAATCGGTTTCGCCCTCTTCCGGGCGGGGGTATTCAAGATGCTTGACCATGATGTCCACCAGTTTTGAGAATACGTCAGTGAAAGCGACACGCGCGTCACCGTATCGCTCGAGTGTGACGTATTGCTTCAGCTCGTACCAGAAGACGAAAGTAAGAGAAACTGCGTCGTGCTCCCAGTCTCGGGCACAGCATTCAAGAACCGCTTCTACCAGGCCGCGGAACTCGGAAGGTAACCGGGCAATCATCACGACCCAAGCCTCACCAGCTTCTGCAAAAAGCCTGGTGATACCCTTGAACGCATCTGTATCTTCTGCCCCGGCGAATTCCGCGATCTTCGGGCGTAGAGACAATAACCGTGGATATAAAGCCTGAATGATTGACAACGATTCATCGACTTCTCGCGTATCCCTGTACAAGGTGCACATGCTATCAACAGCGGATTCGAAGGAGATATCGTTATCCAATGCTTTCAAGATGACATCCATCAAAGGCGATTCAACAATTTTCGCGGCCGGAATTTCACGCATCCAAGAGGTTATACAATCCAAGAGACGTGGGTTGGTCGATGCGGTCGCTACGACGCAGACGAGGTGGGCACGGATCAGTATATAGCGCCCTGAGAATAACAGACGTGTACTTACGGGATGACTGGGCATATTGGATCAGTAGATGCATCACCTGTTCTGCATTGTCTTCCAACAACTCTTTCGTCCGTGTCAGAAGATCCTCTTCCTAAAAAGACACACATGCATTAGAGTCTGATTCACTTATCGTGGATTGCGCCGACCCGTTGAGACCAGATGATAGGTGGTGGGACGCTGGTTCTGCCGGAACGTACACTGAGATTGATTTTGCGACCTTCCGTCACCTCCTCTGGTAGGATCCTAAGGAATTCTAGGACGCAATCGCCGGCGCTGCTTCCCAGAGCCGACCCGACGGTAGCAAGGACATCTTTCCACCCGGTCATCTGAATGGCGAGACTCGCCAGGCACACACACAGCTGTGTCTGTATCGGTCGTGGACCAGACGCATAAGCCACGAGGAGGTTCAGCACAGAGTCTCTCAAAGCAACTACAGACTCCGTCGGCAGTTGATCTAAATCGAATATGATCTATTGAGGTCAGTATTTCTAGGTCCCGCGTCCGATGACGACCATGGCATATGTTGCTGCACCTTTCCTTTCAGCGTGGTCGCTGCGAACAACTTTGCTTCAACAGGGACATCCGGCGACTGTAACAGCTCATGGGTGATCGTCCAAGCCTCGATCTAAGAGAAATATCAAGTGTCAGACAGAAATTCTATAAATCGTGTGGGGTGCGATCGAGGGGTTCAACTTACCGACTTCTGGAACTTCTCAAGGAACTCATGAGCGTGTGTCTTCTCACTTCGTGATACGTTTCCTTGCATTGTAGCGACTGCCGCGAGGACAGGACCAAAGGCCTGTCCTGCGGCCCCTTCTTTACTGGCCATGGTTGACGGAGGTGGGATGTTTTGATCTAGTGTATGGGAGACGGAAGTGGAAGAGGGGTCAATCCGGCCGGAAAGGCTCAACAACTATAGGTAAATGTCATGTACACTCATTAAACGAGCATTAAAGGAGAGGTGAAATAAGGGTTTCAAGCACCGGCATTCAACAAAGGTGGCGGACTGAGAGATCGGGCAACCGTCCTTACGTAGTAGGGGAAGTGGGATGTGGTGACTGGTGACAAGAAATTCAAAAGGAAAAGTTGGTGAGCCGCAATCGTCCCCCAAGGCGGCCAAAGAAAACGTGCGGGTGAAGGAACCTCCTTCAACCAGCTTAGCTTCGCCTGATGACCACCACCACGGACAGAGGCTCAACGCAAATTTCCCCAATTAACAACAATTTTATCGGAAGGCGCTCAGTCGACCTTACTGCCAGCTACGTTCTTTCAACAATTTTCCACGTCGCGTGTTCATAATGGCCGGCCGAGCAGGCGGTGGAGGTGCTCGCAAGACGCTCCTTGCGCCAATTCACTTCATCTTCAAGCTTCTGCAGCAACGAACGACGGTTTCTGTCTGGCTCTACGAGCAGTTGGCTTTCCGGATAGAGGGAAAGATCAGAGTACGATCTGTCTCTTTCCTTGCAACAATTTATCAAGCTAATAGCGTGCGCCAGGGATTCGATGAGTTCATGAACTTGGTCATTGATGATGCGGTGGAAGTGAGAATGGCTACAAAGACCGACGAGGAGAAGCGGAGGCCCCTGGGTATGCACTGCTTCGACTGATATCTTGATCTCGCAAGTGGGTGGTAGTGCTAATACGAGTGTTTATCGCAGGTCAAATTCTGCTCAAGGGCGACAACGTGTCTCTCATCCAGGCCGTCCAGTGATTCTACTACGATAGGAGGAAAAAGTTTTTATTCATCTACGGCAGCTTCGATTTCCTCACAACCATATACTCTACGAATTGCCGCTGAAGGACAGTTTTATGCTTAATTGAATAGACGGGTTCTTTGCATGCGTGAAGACTCTTTCCGGGGGTAGTCATATCAACGTTGGCGAACAAACAAGCGGCCGTCACCGACGATGAGCATGTCTACTGGCCAGTCGTGATCCGCAACGGGTATTTCCTCGGTCAAGGGAAGCATTTGCTCTTTGAGTGAAAGGGCAACTATTCGGAATTAGTAAGGTCACTTTACGGGAGTTTTGGGTTTCGGATGCGGCTGCTCCTCACCGAGTAAAGGCATTTTTGATGTTGTCGTCTGCCTCTCGGCTTGCTTTTTCGAGTATCTCGTCAAAAAATGATCATAGTAACCTTTACCATGGCCAAGTCTTCGGAATCCTTGATCGAAAGCCATTCCAGGCATGATTATCAGATCAAGTCCCTCGAATCTTTGCGTAGAGTCCTCCACCGACGTTGATGAGACACCTATTGTCCCAAAGCAGTTTCTCTTGTTGGCAACCTGGGCCTTGGTGAGCGATGGTATTCCCCACTTATCAGGCGCAAGAGATTTGAATTCTTCCATAGACCGCAGAACCAGCATGTCCATGATGGAGGTCTTCTTCTGTGTCGAAGACGGTGAGTCTATGTTATGGATATACGGCACGAATACCTCTTTGCCGTGAGACAAGGCGTCTTGGACTATGGCCGTAGTTGATAGTTCACCCGATGGCATGGACAGGTAGACACCGATCCTCGTGGCATTTTGATACTCAGTCAGGGAGAATAGCTTATCCGCAGCAACTCTGGCTATGCTCAGTTAGCTCTTGTGGAGGGCGATAATAAGGGTGTCTGACATTGCTGAATGATTGACTCATTGGGGGTTTTTTGAAGAACATTGCTGATCTTCTTGCGGAGGTCCCTTTTTGCTGTCTGTAGACCGGAAGCCATCATCATTGCTACGCCTGGCAAAGTATGGTATCAATGCGCATTCTTCGGACACTCCAAGGCGTGGTCGATGTTGTTCAACAAGCGCTCGGATATGTTCAATATTCCGTCGATGCGATGTGAGCTATTCTCCGATGTTCGGGCCCGCGCCTTGGCACATTGTTATGTGGAGTATCCGCATGGCTGGATCGACAGGGCCGTGTAATTCTACATACCAGCCATGGTTTACCTCCTTCACTGCAATGAAGGGCAAGTTGTCGCTCAACATGGCATCCCTTCACAAGTTCCTCCTCATCTTGCTTCACCTCGCGATACCTGACGCTGCCAGCTTCTCGCTCGGGTACGCTGAAAGATGATTGTTGGATACTTCCTGTTCATCTTCCTCGTCGCCATTGTCAGGGCCAGTAGTGTTGCTGATCTGGTCGGGACTTGGACAACTAAGTCTCGCAATGTTGTAACAGGCCCGGTAGGCTCTTCGCAGGCGCACAGTCGCGGATCTTCCCGAGTGGTCTACATGAATCTCTAACGTCTCGCTATATCTTGAAGGATTTCTACGATCCGATCAACGACATACTGCTCGAACCAAATCTCACTGGCATTTCATATTCATTTACTGCAGATGGATACTATGAAGAGGCGTACTACCGCGCCGTTGCCAATCGTCAGTTGTGACCCATCCTTTCTCGTCGGAGGCTGTTTCCTGACATGACTTGTATTCACCAGCCACAACGCCTTCGTGTCCTAAAGGTATCATGCAGTGGCAGCATGGCACATATGCTGTGATGCCAGATGGATCCATCCAGCTAACTCCAATCGCGGTCGACGGCCGCCAGCTGGTATCAGATCCATGCTCAAAGGACGTGGGCATGTACACAAGATACAACCAGACCGAGACTTTTAGTGTGCGCTGAGGACCTGTCGCACCCCTCTAGTATTGTTGCTAACTGTGAATTTCAGTCATTCACGGTCTCCACAGACTCATACCATCATGCCAAACGTTTGGATCTCGCTGCATTCGACGAGACTCCAATGCCCCCAATGTATCTTGTCTATAAACCTCCTCAGCTTTTACCCACGACGACCTTAAACCCGGCCAGCTCAGAGACGGGGAAGAGCAAGCGCCATATTGCCCGAGATATAGGGTCCCCCGTGGGCGAGAACACTCTGATGCGAAGCGATCACATCGTCAACCCGGACAGATGGCTATGGTTTGGTGCTGTGATGACTGCTATGGGCGGAATTGCTTTGATCTATTCCTGACTTTCTAGGACTGCAATGGCTCGTTTAGGTCATCATGCGTTTGCATTTTAGGAGGATTGGTGTTCGAGATCTTGATGTACACAAACCGTCATATACTGCAATGAAGATTCTTGCACGTCACATGGCGTTGGAGGTCCTCTTCCCAGAGACTGGAATCATACCTGGCATCAGTAACTCTTTCACTGTTCCGCACCCCCAAGGCAGTTCCCGAGTGCCGGATAAGAGGAGGAAGAGAGGAAAGACCAATATCTAGTTTACATCATAATACAAGGCGTTGTATAATACATCATGTCTTCTCAAGCTGAAGCGACGGCCTCTTTGGCGATCTTCGCAACTTCTGCTCTCTCTGCAGGCTTGCCGTCCAGGGCACCGCCAGGAGCAAAGAGAGACTTGAGTAGACCGCCGACCTCGACCTTCTTGCCGGCTTCCTTCATCTTCGAGAGTTCCTGCGACACAATCCCTTTGATGTCTTCCAGGCTCATCGTCTCCACTTGGCCGGCATACTCCTCCAGAATTGTGACCTGCGCATCTTCCTTCTCCTTCAAATCGGGCCGATCGGCGTCTGCGAATTGTTGCGCTGCCTCCTTGGCAGCAGTCGCACGCTTCCGAATGAGCGACAGCAATTGCAAGTCTGTCTGAATCGGCGACGAGGTCTTTGCGGAGTTATTCGTTTCCGAGATCAGCGCGCGAAGGACGTTCAATCTGGACGTAATTCAGTTCATATTCCATATAGATCTTCGACAACGTAGCATGAGAAGTACCTGGCCGTGTCCTTCGCCCTCATGGCAACCTTGAGATCAGATCTAATTTTGGCCATTAAGGGCGGCGAAGCTGGGCTGGCAGTCGAGTTCCATCGGACTGGACTCAGGTTCAACCGACTGGCCGACCTCAGAGTTCTGAACATCTTTTCTGCAGCGCAAGCAATTGATAAAGTGATCGGATGTAAGAGAGAAGGAAGATCTAGAATAAATCACAATTTCATGGGTGGAGCCTAACAATGTCTATTGAGAACTTGGACTGAAATCATTGTCGGGGAACACCAGAAAAGGCGGAAAGCTGCTTGGGCTATTCATATTGTCCGGTCCGTGCACAATTTTGTTTCTCTTCTGCTGTGAAGTTCCATTCTGCCAGTTACCTGCTTTTTGTCTTGTCTCAATTGGGCCTCAATACAATAATAATAATAATTTGACGAGAAACAGCGCTCATTGATGCTAATCCTGATCTGCTACGGCGCCTAGTTACTTGCTTATGCTTCGTCCCCGGCTTCTCTTTTCCTCTAAAGTTGTTCTTACCTCACCTTTACCACGCTGAACGAAGTACCACCACGCCGGGGAGCGCGACATATTCTCCTCAAGCCGTTGACGGCGACCGCACAAAACGATGTCATATCCCAATCTTCCGACTCTGACTCCTCAAAAACCGCTTCCTGGAGCTTTCTTCCAGACTCCTGCACCTAAGAATGTATCGAACACGTCGCTCATCTCTCCCAAGCCAGCTCCTGCCGCCGCAGAGCGAGCTTCGCCAGCTTCTCTTCCGAAGCTTCCTCCGGCAGCATCGAAGTCGCAGAGCCAAACGCTGAGTATCGAGGAGCGTGCTGCAGGGACAATAAATGATACACTCGTCCAGGAATCTCGGTATCCCGACCTGGATAGCTACCTATCTCGTAAGTAAACGCTGATCGCCTTGGTTCTTTGTTGGGTCTGGCTGACGTCCTCTCGCAGAAGGGTTTTCTTCCGATTACGACATCCCCACCTCGTCGTCATGGGCCCCCTTTCAAAAAGTGAAGATGTATAATATCCCTGATCAGATCTTTGATCAGTACAATCGAGCGCAGGTTTCCACGAGTATGGGTCTCTTCGCCGAGTTGAATCACGCCTGGGTTGCTATTGACAACGCGCTTTACATCTGGGACTATACGCATCCGAATCCACAATTGGTCGGGTTCGAAGACCAGCCCAATAGTATCAATGCCGTCAAGCTGGCGAAGCCTCGCGCCGGAGTGTTCCTGCCTTCAATCACCCACCTTCTCGTCATATCGACGACCGCCGAGGTCATTTTGCTGGGAATGGGCTGCGAAACAACGGCGGGGGGCGCGCGACAAGTCACCTTGTATCAGACCGGCATGTCGACCTCCATTCGTGGCTTGGATATTCATGTCATCGCTTCGTCGGATGCAACCGGTCGCATCTTCTTCGGCGGTTCTACCGACAACGATGTCTATGAGCTCACATATCAACAGGAGGAACGGTGGTTTCAAGGCAGATGCGCCAAAGTCAACCATACCAGTTCGCGTATCTCGGCTTTCACGCCCACTCTGAGTTTCACTCAGAAAACCACTGAGACGGTGGAACAGATGGAGATTGACGACACCAGGAGACTACTCTACACTTTGTCGTCATCTTCGACCATAAGAGTTTTCCACATGAAACCTGACGGTACCTTGGCCCTGGCTATTACCAAACCGGCCATGGACATCTACGCGAACATTGGGCACATTATTGCGTCCAACGAAACCCTCAACCCGAAAGTTCGAATCGTGTCCATTAGCCCTATTCCTGCTGCTGAGGCCTCGAGATACCATCTAATGGCCACAACTGCAACCGGCTACCGTATCTACCTCAGTGCGACGGCGTCTTATAGCTGGTCGCCAGCTCCAAATGGCACGAATGCGCCGACAAGCATGCAGGCGCACCATGTGAAGACTCCGCCTTTCGATAACCCACCTTCTACCCCGATAGAGCTGGGTCAGCCCCGGTTCCAGACCTCTGGAGCATCTAGGGTTCCCATACATTCTCTCAATCCTACCAGATTCACCGTTCGATACCCACCAGGGTATTTCTTCTGCTTCACATGCAAGGATCCCACGCAAAAGACCGACACTCTTTTCATCTCTTCTCCCGACTCTGGCCGAGTGGCTCGGTCCCAAGACAACGTCATCCCTGGAAAGGCAGCCGAGACAGGCATCTGGCTCTCTTTGGGTAGCAGGGCGGAGGACGTCGGTCTCTGCTCCGCGCCTAGCGCGGCTGCCTCAACCCCGGGTGGATTCGGCAACGAGCTTGCTGTTCAGTTTGATAGCGCTGCGGCCGAGATTGCTATCCTGACCAACACCGGTATTCATGTGATTCGCCGCCGGCGACTCGTTGACATGTTTGCTGCATTGGTTCGGGGTGGCGGTAGTGGCGGTGATGAGGGACTCGAGGGCGAGGTGAAGAACTTCATTCGCACCTATGGCCGGAGCGAGACTCTTGCAACGGCGCTTGCAGTCGCGTGTGGACAGGGAGTCGAGGTTTCCACGGACTCACGGCTGACTCAGATCAATGATCCTGATGTTTTGGAGTTCGCGCGTAAAGTCTTCATTGAGTACGGAGGCCGGCCGACGGTGAATGAGAACGCGGTTGCAGACAGTTCCACCCCCGCCATCGACACGGTTATCCTATCGCCTAGGCATGCAGGCATCGCTCTCTACATGTCAAGACTCCTGCGGTCGATTTGGAAGAAGGAAATCGTAAAGGTCAGCAGCGGGCCCAATGGTGCACAGACGATCTCCGCGTCTGTGGCGACAACAAAGCTGCAAAGTGTACAGCGTGACCTGTCTGCTCTGCAAGATTTCTTCAAGGCGAATAAGAGTTTCATTGAGGGATTGAGTGGTCCTGAAGCCTTGGCGCGCGTGTCGACAAAGCAGGAAGAAACGGCGCTACAAGCCGAACACAGAGCGCTGCACTCGCTCGTTCAATTGGTCTCACACACCATTGAAGGCATCTCATTCGTCCTGGTGCTTTTCGATGAGCGTGTTGATGAAATTGTTGCGACTCTGCCGGACGAGTCGAAGCAGCGTTTCCTCAAGCTCACATTCGAGGAGCTTTTCAGCACCAGCAAGGGTCATGACATTGCAAAGGAACTGGTGAAGGGGATAGTGAACAGAAACATTGCTAAGGGCTCCAACGTCGAGACTGTGGCCGACGCCCTCAGGCGACGGTGCGGTAGCTTCTGCAGCGCCGAGGATGTGGTCATTTTTAAGGCTCAGGAGTTGTTGAAGAGAGCCACCGAAGCAGGAGCCAACTCGGAAATCGGCCGCAATCTGCTGAATGAGAGTCTTCATCTGTTCCAACAGGTGTCTGACAGCCTTCCCATGGATTACTTGGTCTCGGCGGTCGAGAGCTACATCTCCAATCAATTCTTTGCAGGTAGGTCTTACGACTCAAACATTGATGGGCCAAAGGCACTGACAACGTTCAGGCGCGATCCAACTGGCTCTCAACGTCGCGGCTCGTTCCGACAAGGCTAACTTGGCACTGTCATGGATCGTGGACGGTCGTCCTGAAGATGTAAGGTTCCTGTTGTGACATCCTTTAATAGGCGACATGCTAATCCGCGGCCACAGGATTCTCGACGCGATTACTTTTACTTCAGGAAGCAATGTTATGATTTGGTATTCAAGGTCATCATCGCCGTTGACAATCTTGCAGCGCATGATCCGGGTGTGGTTGATGGGCAACTCACAATCATCGCCAAACGCAAGAATGAGGCCTACAGTGTCATATCAGATTCCACTGACGAAGTGTTCTTGACGAGTTTGTATGACTGGTACCTTGAACAGGGCTGGAGCGATCGCTTGTTGCAGAACAATTCTCCGTTTGTGGTCACGTATCTCGAGCGTAAGTCAGCCGATGACATCGCTCATGCGGACCTACTCTGGAGATATTTTGCCCAGTCGCAGCGGTTCTACGAAGCCGCCAATGTTCAGTATCACCTTGCGCAGAGTGCCTTTACTTTGCCTCTTGCTCGTAGGATCGAATACCTGGGCCGCGCCCGGGCAAACGCCTCAATTTTCACTCCAGATGTGGGCCGCCAGTCCCGGCAGCGCCTCATTCAGGACATTTCGAATCTCATCGACATTGCCAATATCCAGGACGATCTGTTGCAGCGCCTGAAGGATGACACGCGCATCGCACCTGAGCGCCGAACAGAGGTTCTGAAAGAGGTGGACGGTCCCATCATGG